TCCTCCTCATCTTCCTCCCTTCCTCCCTTACCCTCTCTCCTATCCCTCTCCTCCTATCTTTGTCCCCTCTGTTTCCCACTCTTCCTCTCATTCACTTGGTGTATTTCAGCTTCTGAGCAAACGCTAATCTATGTTGATAGTATTTATGCTTCCATATCAATATACTTAACATATCTTAGTTTTAAAGAAAAAATAAGAGAAGACAGTATACATGTGCAATCATATTACATTACATCAAGTTAGTCCTGACTCCTGGCAACTGCCTGGACGAATCCATGCAGCTTTCTTGGCAAGATAATCTTTCAAAAGTGGTTTGTCACTGCCTGTTTTTCAGAGCTGAATGTGTTTGATGCCCCAAAGTCACCCAGCTGGCTTTGTGCCTGATGGAAGGCCAGAACTCACAACCTCCTGATTTCTAGAGTAATACCTTTCACCACCATACCAACTGGTTCTCCCATTTTGTCGAGAACTAAAACTATGTAGTTTCAGAGTTCCAGAATATATGATGTTAAATTACTCTTGCCAGAGTCCATTATCATAATATTGTGACAGCAAATCTCTTTTAGAAATGAGGGGCAAGCGTATGTGGACAAAGCAAATAAAAATGCTATAAATACATATAAAAATATTCTTCATCTACATGGGGTTATTTATACATAAGAAAAAACTTACATCTGTTAAGGAAATTGTCTATGTTTTTGTTCTTCCTCAGTGCTGGATAATCCAGATCAAGGACTAAGGACTTTAAACCATCCTAGAAAAAAAGAAAAAGAAAAAAGGGAAAAAACAAAGGAAGATTATTTTAGAAATCTCATCTTCCCTTACACCATGATGTCTGGATCATTCAAACAGTGCTGGCACTCAAACACCTATCAAGAACTTTCTTTATTACATTCTAGATCTACTTCCCTTCCCCAAAGGAAAAATAAAGATCCTTTTTGACGGTACCATTATCACTAGGTCACCAGTGCAATGTCTCTACTCAGGCAACAGGAGGTTGACCCTACTTCTTTTAAACCTGGATGTGAAATCATGCTGTTCATTAAAAAGTCCACATTCCCCCCACATCCCGCCCCTCCAAAATATCTAGCAGATTCGCACACCCAAAGGTGGGGGGGAGGGAAGAGTAGTAAAAGCAATATAAATCGAGTAAAGTATTTTTAGCTATGCCATTTGTCATCTTCATCATGAACTGTAACAAATATTCTTCTAATCTCAGGTAAATACTCTGATACGTATAACACACAAAAAAGGGAATTAAGTATCACCAAGTCAATCATTCTAAACCAGTGGTAGTCAACCTGGTCCCTACCGCCCACT